GAATTTATTTTTACTCATAAGGTCTTTTGAGGATCTGTTCTTCAGGGGTCACACGGGCTTAGGAGGAGCCCCTGGCTCCTTTCCACTACCAGTTCCATCTATGTGATGATAAGTCAAAGGTCCTGCTCAACCGTGGATGGCTTCACTTGGAAGCATAGAGGAAATGTTTCTCTATGTTGACCCTCCTCTTTCGACTGGACACTGGTTCAAGTCCATCTGGTGGTGTCTCCATGGCCTCCTTGATCAAGAGGACAGGTGGCTCACCACGGTTAGAGGACATTTTGAGAGTGGAACTAACCTTCTTGAATGTTTAACAGCCATACTTTGAGGCCTATACTAATTTGGTCAAAGGGACTTAAAGGGCAGTTTTTGCTCCTTGCCCTCCAAGGTTGACTAAGTTCCAGGGGACTATGGAGCATCTCTCAAAATAAAATATTTTTTAAAAAAGATCACAACCCTTCTTCCAATCCATCTTTAAGAACTTTATATCGATTTTTAAATGTCCAAGCATATACTTTTTTCTTTGTCTTTTTAAAGAACACCTCTCTATTTTACGTATTGTTGGCTTGTTTTCTCTCCATAAACTGTTCTGTCAACTGTATTGTAAGTGACATTGGGATTAAAATTGGACTCATCCAACAGAATTTTTGTGAGCACCTGGCGTATGCCAGTACTGTTCTAGAAGCTGTGCCTGGAGCTTTCAAGCATGACACAATATTCATTTTGACTTGTGTGAATAGATATCCTAGGCATCAATGTGATTCTTATGCTCTGTTAATTGTTGTATGTCGTGCCCTACTCACTCAGTGTAAGGATTGGAACTAGGAGGAAATGCTTCAGTTGTGGAGAAGTGACTGACCCTATTTATTTATAAAAACAAAAATGAGCATGGAACGAAGTCATTTTAAGCTTCTAAATTAAATAAAATAATACATTTGACTGATGTTTATTGATCACTGTATTAAACACCTTTTGATTTCCCTATTCTGGTCCTCACAGTGATTTTATGAAAACAGTATTAGCATCCCCAGAGGCATCAGGCTTTGGAGGCAGACACATCAATTACCGTGTGTCTCTGTGGGCATCCTGCTTACTCTCCCCAAAGGGCCCCAATCTTCCCTTTGGTCACAGTGAGGATCAGAACATATCTGGCAGATTGTAGTGAGAATTAGAGAAGACCGAGAAGATTAAAAACTACCAGTCAGGCACAGTGGAACATACCTGCAGTGCTGGGCACTCAGGAGGCTAAGGCAGGAGAATCACTTGATCCCAGAAGTTTGAGGCCAACCTGGGCAACACAGTGAGACACGTTGCCCACTCCCCCACCCCCACCCCTGCTCCGCAATTTCAAAATAAAATTTTTTGGTCTGTTTTTTGAGACAGGATCTCATGTAGCCCAGTCTGGCCTTAAACTTACTATGTAGCCAAGGATGATCTTGGAGTTGATCCTCCTCCTTCTGCCTCCGATTGCTGGGGTTTACAGGCATGTGCTACTACACCCAGCTCTAAGCAATATTTTAAATTAAATAAAAAAGAAAAACCCACAGGGGCTGGAGGGATGGCTCAGCAGTTAAGAACACTGGCTGTTCTTGCAGATCAAACTCACTATGTAGCCAAGGATGATCTTGGAGTTGATCCTCCTCCTTCTGCCTCTGATTGCTGGGGTTTACAGGCATGTGCTACTAAAGAACACTGGCTGTTCTTGCAGAAGACCGTGGTTCAAATCCCAGCACCCACACAGCAGCTAACAACTGTCTGTAACTCCAGTTCCAGGGGATCCAACAGCCTCTTCTATCCTCTGCGGGCATTGCATGACATGGGTGCACTTACCTACATGCAGGCAATACATGCACACACATAAAATAAAAATAATAATTTAAAAAACTCCAAAGTAGACATTCAAAAGTGAATGTTTCTTGCAAGTGAGACATGAGGGTAGAAAAGTTGGTCGCTTGCCTAGGGGTAAGTTCCAAGCAGAATTTGAGCTAGCTGTGCTGACATAGAGACCACTGCTGTATGGAAATAGAGGGAAATTCCTCCTCTTCCCTCCCACCTGACCCCTGGGTCACAGTGGCCAGTTCACACTGGCTCTGTCAGCCAGCACTATGGAAAGGCAGAAGGGACCTTGACTGCATGAGTCTAGCCTATCATTGAGCTTCAAGCCCTTATCTTGCTCCATTCTGAGAAGACACCAGCATTGCCCTCACTGGGTGGTCCCTAAGATGTGTTTTCTCTTCTCACAGACACCAATGTGATTCGGTATATCCAGCTGACAGAGATGAAACTCAGCAGATGCTCCCAGAGGGAGAAAGAAGCCATGTAACGAGGAAGCCTCTCACAAGCCACACATATGCCTGACTGGGGACTTCCAGGCACCCTGTCGGAGAGCCCCACCTTGGGCTCTGTCCCTCTCTCCTCAGTTCTTCCAGTACCCCTGCTCCCCAACTCTCTCTACTCCAGTGCAAGAAGGTGAGAAGCACACTTGGAACGTGGTGAGCTGCCTGCATGGACATAGCCTCTTCTCTAGCAGGTCAGCGACTAGGACAGCTGGAAAGGACTGTCATGGACTGAGATGGCATTGTGGCTTTGATTTGGGTCAGTGTTTCAGAGCTTGGCAGTGCATCAACCCAAAGACAGCAGGCATGGAGCCTGCAGTCTGGACCCTTCTGCACCTTCCTGATGGACCAGTGCATCTTGAGGCTACTGAAAGAAGTCCAGGGCCGAGACAGGCACAGAAGCATTGGTTGAGCCAATGCTGAGACTGAATCTGTTTCCCACTCCCTCAGTCACCTTAGCCCCTGCCACCTGCCTCACTTGTCTTGACCTATCCTTTCTTCTCTCTCTCGGGGAAGTCCAAGTCTCTGCCAGGATTCACATGCCATTAAGGCCCACTCTCAATGCCTTCTGGTGACCACACATACCATTCCCCCGCCTCCCAGCCAGCAGGCAGCTGTGACAGCAGAAAGGCAGGGTGAAATGGGCCAACAGTTGGGGGCAGAGCAGACCGTGTAGGTGACAGAAGAGGGAGAGATGACGCCTAAGGGAAAGAAAGAGCCTTGTATAGGCTGGGGGCCTGGACCGTGGACTAATTAAGTGTAAATAAAAATAAATTCACAGGCAGCAGTTCCTGTCATTTCTGTTGGAAGCAGTCCACTCCTTCATTTCTGTTCCCTACCCATCCCTCAAGCAGAGCTGCCCACAGCTAAGCAGGACAGAGCTTCCCCCAAAGCCACTGGCCATTTGTTCAGGACTGTACACCATTTTGGCAACAGCCTCTGTGCTTTCAGCAGTGGGCTAGGACTGTGGAGACCGCCCTGGGGCTTGGCTTTGTCGGAACTTGTTTTTGACAGAATTATGTGAACTCAATATCTAGTATGTAGAGTTTGTTCAACAAATATTTGTTGAATGAATAAATTACAACTGCAGACTGACTCTCCTGCCTTAAACTAATCTGATCCCAGCCTAGTCTCCTGACATCTATGCTCTTTAGGCTATGCCGTGTTACTTCAGTCAAACAAGAGACATTTACTGAGAGCTTACCATTCCCCCAGCGCAGTACAGTATGCCACGGGATATGGGCTGTCGTCCCAGTCTTCAAGGGAACAGAAGAGTTGAGAAATGCATAAGAGATTATTACCAACAACACCGTTAATCTATATGATGCTTAACCATTTTTGAAGCACTTTCATGTATTTTTTGTGTGACAGTGAGAAAATATTGTATAAAATTAAAAAATATATACAGATGCAATAATTAATAGTTAGGATTTATTAAATGCACTATCTTCAGATCCTTACATGGACAATCTTGTTTCTTTCATAGAATTACTCTGTGAGATATTAGTCAACATGTGATGATGAAGAAAACAGAGCCAGAAAAATTAACTATCTGCATGGCCTTACAGGACATGGCTAGGGTGTGAACCAGATCTGTCTGACTCCAGAACTCTAGCTTCTAACTACCACGTACTTACTTTGTTGGGTGGTTACAACTGTTCAAGGGCAGGACAGTTTGCATTAAGTTGAAAAATATATACCATATCAGCAGGCCCCACTCTTATATTTACATAAGTAAGACAGAAAAGACCAGCCAGGAGAAGACAGCTGAGGCCCAGCAGTGCTGTCTGTCAGGTCTACTTGCTGCTGAGACCAGCATGAATCTGAACAGCCCACCTGGCATTCCTCACCCCATCGCCAGCAGTGGGAAAGGACCACAATTATAGGTACAGACTGCAGGGACACGCAGAGTTAATTATAGGTTATCTGTTTAAGCAGAGGCTCTGCTACTTCAAGACCCAATCATTTTAAGGGTCCAGCAGCCAACAGCATGGGTTATATTCACACAGTTCCCCAAACTTTTAATGGGGGCTAAAAGAAGGTGCTAGAAATACCCAGGGGTCCACAGTTGCACTGGAGAAGAGGAAAAGGAAAAAGCCAGCCCAGGTGCCACATTCTGTACCTCTGTTCCTCACTTCTGCCATATCCTTTTGTCTTCTTCCTCCAAAATGGCTTCCTATAACCCTAACCCCAAACTATTCTTAGCTCTACCGTAAGCCTATGCACAATGCCCCACCACTACCATTACCTTTTTAAGCCCAGAGCTTGTGAGTTGACAAACTGTTAGGATCTGAAGGATGAAGATGAAGTCAGAGGTGGTCTGCAGAATGAGTTCAGACTAGCAGCAGCTCCCTTTGTTCTTTATGCATCAGGAAGGATTCTGGGTACTTACTCCCAATAGGGAGACAGGAGAGAAGGTGTGCTTGAACAGATACAATAAGATAGGGCTGGACACAAGGGGATAAAACTGTTGCCATCCCGAAAAGAATGCTTTGAAACCACAACTATGTGAGGACAACCTCTTGGAACCTCATAGAACAAGTGTATAACCTTTGGCTTATCTAGTGACTTAGACACATTTGCTTATGGAAACTCCATTTACTATAACCCAGACTTAATGATCCCCCAAGTAAGCTTCCTGGGGCATTAGCTAACACTGGGTGACGTGAGGGCTGAGTCTCTGAGCATTTGTCCAGCAGAGACTTCAGATGGCTGTTTAGCTTCCTTCTCTCCATGCCTCCTTAAAAAACAAGGACTGTGCTCTAATTACACACTTGGTGGGTGCCACTGTTGAACCACATATGTAGACAGCACTAATCATGGATCTGACCTGCATCGTCATGTGCTTGGACTTTTGTGATCAACTCTTTGGGACAAAGCTTATGTTTTTTGTTTAATTATGAGAGCCTCGCTGTGTGTTATAGAACATTTAGGGGAAAAAAGAAGGAAAGAAAAAGATGAAATTCAGTCCAACACACTACCATCTAAGATAACACATTTTTATCCTTTTGGCATATATTTTGGTTTTCTTTAGTATAAATGTGTATGAACACATGCACAGGTTTTTGTTTGTTTTTTAATGAAAAAAAAATGATCATGCTGTATAGACTCTTTAATAACTTACTTTCCAAAATGTATATTTATATTTTAGAATATGCAATGTATGCACAGACATGCAGAATTCAAATAGGACAAAAACTCCGTAGTCGGAAGTAACTCTTCTCCCAGTCTGCCAACAGCTTGTTTCCCTCTAGTCTCTTGTACATCCCCTCCGGAGATACACATTTCAAGCATATGTATATGTATTATTTCATCACTCACAAGTGGTGACATATCAGATCCTTTTTTCCCCTCCTTCCGTTGCTTTATTTAATCTATCGGGAACATTTTCTGCATGTCTTTCAGATTTTTCCAGTAGCATCTTCATTATATAAATGGACCTTACTTTTGTAACTTGTCCCCAAATACTGATTATTTCACTTGTTCACAATCTTTACTGTAAATAATGTTGTAACTCATATTCTTGTTGCTAAATTTTGCACACATCTGTGACTGGTCCCTTACGATGTAATCCAAGAAGGAAATTGCTTGGCTGCTTTTAAGGGTTTTGATACATGTTGCCAATGTCCCCCCACAAAAGTTTGTACCAAAACACTGTCTTGTTTGCATCCCCCAGAGTGTCCTGCCCTCTGGACCCCAACAAACACTGGATATTATTACTTATCAAATCTTTACCAATTCAAAGGCAAATAATAGTGTGTCAATGATATTTCAACTTGTTACTTTAACTCTCTTTGGTTATTGGTGAATAACATTTTCATATGCTTATGGACCATTTGTATTTCTTTCTTTGTGAATTTTCTATTTATTTGATATTGATATGTTTATTATCTATTTGTAATCTTAAGAATATTATTTTTGTCAAGAAATGTTGCAGATATGCTTTCTAAGTGCTTTGCTTTCAAATTTCATTTATGGTGCTTTTTACATACATAAATTCCTAATTCTGCAATTAATTTGTTCCTATGTTCCTAGCTTTTCCTGCCTATATCTTATACCCTCATGTCTATCACATGACTCTTATAAAACTCAGTCTGATTGGGTGCTTCCCCAGCTCAGCAAGGCTTTGTCACTTCTCTTCATTCTTAGGATAAAGATCAAATCCCATAATAGAACACTCAAAGTCTTCCCACTGCTTTCTCGCTCTAACTTTGCCAGGCTTGTCTCCTGGCTCTCTTTGCAAAGTATCCATAGCCCTGAACCGATGAGCCATGTCCACGGCACTTGCTGGGTCTTTGCCTTGTTAGCAGTTCCTCACTTTCCCACCCTTCTTCACTGTAACTGTCTTAAGTGTTGACCTGTGATCACTGCTCCAAACTTTAGTCTGTGTTCCTGAAGCAACACAGTCCTGTGTCTAGTGTTCGAAACAACTGATCAGAATGCGCTCTCCACAGTCACCTCTCCCACTGCCTGGATGTTCCCCCAAAGTAAGCACTTTGATTTATACATCTCTGCAGCCAGAATATCTAACACCGTAGGTGCTCAAAAGCTGCTGAGCGTTGAGCCTGAAATGGATGAACAATGAATTCAGTGGCAAATGTTGCTTGTGGTAAATGCAGGGCAGGGCTGGATCTGTGCTTCTGAGAACTGAAAATTTCCTGGGAGACTTGGGTCAGCAGAGAAGCTATGTGCTGCAGCCGCTGCTTTAAAAACACCAAAGGCACTTGCAAGAGCTTTTTAAAAGTACATAATCTCAAGCTCTGCCTCAGACCTGATGCATCAGAGTCACAGTGATAATGCTCAAGGCATTATGGTTTTCAGAATGTTCAGGAGGGTTTCTGATGAGCAGGCATGGAAGTAGACCAGCATACCCTCTTCAGCACACACTTGACTCCATCACTTCAAACCATGTGACCTTTCGGAGTGGACAGATGGAACTTTATCTGAGGTCCCACTTAACCACTAGCCATGTGACTCTGGGGTAGTTACTTAACTTTCTGGCTCTCATTTTCTTACATAAAAGGGTGTTGTGATGATTAGGAAATAAATGGCTCTCAGCTGATGCCTAATGCAGAGTATACACAGAATAAACAATGACTCCTTCCCCCACCCTTTTCAGCCTCAGTTTCCTCATTTATAATGTGCTAATACCTCTTTGCTTGTTTTCCCTATTCCCAACTCTGCACTCTAAATGGAAGGGAACTGCCAACAAGCACTTGGTTAACTGGTCAAACAGCAGAAGTGCTTGGGAGGGTAGGTACGGGACAGAGGAAGCCCCACGCAGAGCCACATGCTTGGAGCACCCTCGTGGCCTCTGCAAGCATCACAGAGACTCCATAGTAATCAATGGGAAACACTCTAAACTTTCAGAACTAGCTTCCCTCCAGTCATGTGGAAAGAGTGACAGTTTTCTTCGTGACAATTCACCCAGGGGCCAGGAGCCTCTGAGCCACAAGGAGAAAGCAACTGTTAGGAAACAGAGGGGAAATTGCCCACTCTCCCTCCAGTGCCCTTGATATCTCCATCACATGACCGTTATGTAGTCAAACAGCTGATCTGCAGCTGCTTTGATTAAGATGCTACATTCCCTGCTCCCAACACCACACAAGCCCAGGGCAGTCTGTGGAGGCAGGGAAAATGCGCTCCGTCGGTCAGGCATGGCATAGTTCAAATTACCGAGTCAGCATGAAAAGTCCCACTCTAAATGGACTGAAATTGGATTCTATTAAAAACCACACTCAGCAAGGCCTTTGGCTATTAATATTTGCTAAGACATAGAAGAGGGAGAGGAGGCAGAGGCCTCTGTAAATGGTTGGGTCTCAGCTGCTGTTGAATAGCTTTTCTGGGAGGAGGCCTACATTTGAACCCTAGACTTGCTCTGTTTTCAAAGTCTCAAGAATGTTAGGAGTGGAAGGAAGCTTGAGGTGAAATAGCTCTATCCTCCCCTCATACAGGTGACTTGTTAAATCCAGTCAGTCTGATGACCTGTTCAAGGTCACACAGCTTAAAATAGTTGGGGCAAAACTGGAATTCAGTCAAGCCAGTTTCCTAAAACCAGACAAGACTCCTTCTGATAACCTAAAATATACTTACAAAGCCCCACACTTAAGAAACACATATTTTAATGCTGTAGATGTGTTTTGTTCTAAAGAAAGAGGGGACATTGTTTTCATTCTTCACTCCGTATTTACCTCTGCATGCTCTTTAGAAGAGGGTTCAGTGGTTACTACGGTATCACCTCTGCCGGAAACACTTGCAGTTTACAGGAAAGAAAGCAAAGTAAGCAGTACCAAAGACACCTGGGCACGTATGCAAAGGAACAGCTATATCAATCCTGAGAGAGTTGGAAGATTTTGTGTTGGGCAGCCAGCTAGGTGAAGGAGAGATGCATAAACTTCAGACCAGGCTCACTGACAATCTCACTTCACCTTTCCTGGCTATAACCTTAAAAAGATGTGAGACCATCGTCATGAACTATCTTCCTATCTTTGTCCCAGTTTCTCATGACCAGCCTTAAGCAATACCATTTTTGCTACATTTTTTTAGGTCTGAGAACTAAATCACAAAAGACCCTGCAGTTGTATCTGGTCAAGTCCTTCATGTGGCTACCTGTGTTCTCTCTGAGTGATTTCAAAGTTCATTAGAACATGTTTTCCAAGGCTGGGAAGATAGCTTAGTCAGTAAAGCGCATGTATGAAGACCTGAGTTCAGATCCTCAGCAACCATGAAAAAAACTGAGCACTATGCTGCATGCCTTTAATTCTAGCTCTAGAGAGGTAGAGACAGGAGGATCCCTGGGCTTGCTGGCCAGCCAGTCTAGCTAAATCAGTGAGGTCCAGGTTCAGTGAGAGACCCTGTCTCAAAAACTAAGGTGGAGAGTGAAAGAGGAAGACACCCAACGTCGACCTCTGGCCTCTGGATACTTTCCATAAGAGGGGAGAATTCTGCACGAAGTTTCACAACATGTAGCTCCAGATCATAACATCACAAGCACTTTGGATGTGTCTCATTGTTTTGGTGTTTCATTTTCTCAAATCTCAGCCTCTTTATTCTATCTAGAGTGATCCAGTGCATTAGAAATATAATGTGGACTAACTGCGTAATTTTAATTTCTAGTAGTCCCAGTTTAGAAAATAAAAAGAAATAGGGAAAATAACCTCTAACACTATATTTTTTAATAAATAAAAGTAAAGAAAACAACCCAAAATACTCAGGGATGAATTTAGCAAAGAAGTACAAAAATAATACTCTGAAGACTATAAGCATTCTTGGAAGAAGTTAGAAGAAATGGAACTCGTGGTGATGGAATGGAAGATTTCATATTGTCAGGAGAGCAGTACTTTGCAAGTTGATCCATAGATTCAACATAGTTTTTACTAAAGTGCCAGTTGATTTTTTTTTTTGAGAAATTGACAAAATGATCCTAAATTTCATGTAGCAATTTAAAGAATCTAGAATAACCAATCTGAGAGAGAGGGACAGAGAGAGAGGGAGAGGGAGAGGGAGAGAGACAGAGACAGAGACAAAGAGAGCACTAGCTCATTGGCTAAAAACATTTGCTGCTCTTCTAGAAAACCCAAGTTCCATTCCCAGAACCTATGTCAAGTGGCTCACAACCGCTTAAAACTCTGGCTCCAGGGGTTCCAACATCCTCTCTAACCTCCAAAGTACACACATGTGCACACACACACACACACACACACACACACACACAATCTTAATTTTTAAAAAAAAGTGGACCCACACCTTCTCTCAAAACTTACTATGAAGTTATAATAATCAAGACAATGTGATATAAGCATAAAGACAGACAATAGCAACAGACGAGAAATTAAAGTCCAAAAATAAACCCTGACATTTACAGTAAATTGATTTTCTACAAGGGTATCAGGACAACTCAGTAGGGTTAGTCAGGGGGAGTCTTTTCAACAAATGGTGCTGGAATGTGAGGTAGCTCTGTGCCTAATAATGACGTGAGATCACCTGCCTCACATTGTACACAAAAATCCACTCAAAGTGGACTGAAGGCTTAGATGTATTATAGCATTATAATTCTATATGTATACTAGCATTATAAAATTCTTTGTGATTAGGGTTAGGTAATGGTTTCTTGGACGTAACACTGAAACATAAGCAACAAAGGAAAAAAATAATAAACTAGACTTTATTGAAAATTGAAAATGTGCTTCAAAGGACACTTTCCAGAAATGACAACTCACGGAAGTGGGGAAAACGTTGCAATTATATATCTAATAAAAGACTTGTATCTGAAATATATAAGCTCTGTGACTCAGTAATAATAAACCCCAACTTACAAAGGGACAAAGAATCTAGATAGATACTGCTCCAAAGAGGATAGGCAAAGATGCTCATTACTAGTTGATCAATAGCATTAGTCATTAGAGAAGCACAAATCAAAACCACGTTGAGCTAATACTTCAAGCCATTACCACAGCTGTCATCAAATAGATTTTGTTTTAAAAGGATGCAGTTGAAAACTGTATCAATTCCTCAAACAGGGTTACCCTATGACCCAGTGTATCAGTTTACTTTTCCCATTAGTGTGACCAAATACCTGACAGAAGCAATTTAAGGGAGGTGGGGCTTATTTTGACTCCTGGTTTAGAGGGGACAATCTACTATGACAGAAAAGACCTGGTAGCAGGGCCTGGCTTCTGTCCGTGGTAGTGGGAGCCTGGAGACTACCTTCTTACATCTTGGCAGATCAGGAAGCTGAGAGCTAGATTGGTCTGTCATCCTCAAGGCCCACATCCATGGCCCTACATCTGCCAGCTAGGCTCCACACGCAAAAGGTTCCAAAATTCCCCTCAAAAGATGTGAGATGGTCACTGTG